TGTTAGACTGACTGCACATAGGGGTACTACTGGCAATGATGCGCTATATCTTAAATTTTCTCCGCCACCACTGGGTTTCAAGACCTGTCCATTTGCCAGCTTGTTGGCCTTATCATAAGCTTCCGAACAAGGTATAGTTTGTGCAGAACTTCCTACTTTAAGGTACCTTTAGGCTGCGATATACGAAGTTCGTGTCGCGGGCGCTTGCAGGCATTGCTGTTAGACTGACTGCACATAGCGGTTACTACTGGCATTGATGCGCTATATCTTGAATTTTCTCCACAACTACTAAAGTTCAAGATCTGCCGTTTGCCAGCTTGTTGGCCTTATCATAAGCTTTTGAACAACGTATAGTTTGTGAAGAACTTCCCACGTTAAGGTACCTTTAGACAGCGATATACGAAGTTCGTGTCGCGGGCGCTTGCAGGGATTGCTGTTAGACTGACTGCACATAGGGGTACTACTGGCATTGATGCTCTATATCTTGAATTGTCTCCGCAACCACTTTGTTTCAAGACCTGTCCTTTCGCCAGCTTGGTTGCCTTATCATAAGCTTCCGAACAAGGTATAGTTTGTGCAGAACTTCCCAGGTTAAGGTACCTTTAGACGGCGATATACGAAGCTCGTGTCGCGGGCGCTTGCAGGCATTGCTGTTAGACTGACTGCACATAGGGGTACTACTGGCATTGATGCGTTATATCTTAAATTTTCACCGCAACCACTGGGTTTCAAGACCTGTCCTTTTGACAGCTTGTTTGCCTCATCACTAGCTTCCGAACAAGGTATAGTTTGTGCAGAACTTCCCAGGATAAGGTACCTTTAGACCGCGATATACGAAGTTCGTGTCGCTGGCGCTTGCAGGCATTGCTGTTAGACTGACTGCACATAGGGGTACTACTGGCAATGATGCGCTATATCTTAAATTTTCTCCGCCACCACTGGGTTTGAAGACCTGTTCTTTTGCCAGCTTGTTGGCCTAATCACAAGCTCCCGAACAAGGTATAGTTTGTGCAGAACTTCTCTGGTTGAGGTACGTTTAGAAGGCGATATACGAAGTTCGTGTCGCCGGCGCTTGGAGGCATTGCAGTTAGACTGACTGCACATAGGGGTACTACTGGCATTGATGCGCTATATCTTGAATTGTCTCCGCAACCACTTGGTTTCAAGACGTTTCCTTTCGCCAGCTTGTTGGCCTTATCACAAGCTTCCGAACAAGGTATAGTTTGTGCAGAACTTCCCAGGTTAAGGTACCTTTAGACCGCGATATACGAAGTTCGTGTCGCGGGCGCTTGCAGGCATTGCTGTTAGACTGACTGCTCACAGGGTACTACTGGCATTGATGCGCTATATCTTAAATTTTCACAGCAACCACTGGGTTTCAAGACCTGTCCATTTGCCAGCTTGTTGGCCTTATCATAAGCTTCCGAACAAGGTATAGTTTGTGCAGAACTTCCTACTTTAAGGTACCTTTAGGCTGCGATATACGAAGTTCGTGTCGCGGGCGCTTGCAGGCATTGCTGTTAGACTGACTGCACATAGCGGTTACTACTGGCATTGATGCGCTATATCTTGAATTTTCTCCACAACTACTAAAGTTCAAGATCTGCCGTTTGCCAGCTTGTTGGCCTTATCATAAGCTTTTGAACAACGTATAGTTTGTGAAGAACTTCCCACGTTAAGGTACCTTTAGACAGCGATATACGAAGTTCGTGTCGCGGGAACTTGCAGGGATTGCTGTTAGACTGACTGCACATAGGGGTACTACTGGCATTGATGCTCTATATCTTGAATTGTCTCCGCAACCACTTTGTTTCAAGACATGTCCTTTCGCCAGATTGGTTGCCTCATCATAAGCTTCCGAACAAGGTATAGTTTGTGCAGAACTTCCTAGGTTAAGGTACCTTTAGACCGCGATATACGAAGTTCGTGTTGCGGGCGTTTGCAGGCATTGCTGTTAGACTGACTGCACATAGGGGTACTACTGGCAATGATGCGCTATATCTTAAATTTTCACCGCAACCACTGGGTTTCAAGACATGTCCTTTTGCCAGCTTGTTGGCCTCATCACAAGCTTCCGAACAAGGTATAGTTTGTGATGAAATTGCAAGGTTAAGGTACCTTTAAACCGCAATATACGAAGTTCGTGTCGCGGGCGCTTGCAGGCATTGCTGTTAGACTGACTGCACATAGGGGTACTACTGGCAATGATGCGCTATATCTTAAATTTTCTCCGCCACCACTGGGTTTGAAGACCTGTTCTTTTGCCAGCTTGTTGGCCTAATCACAAGCTCCCGAACAAGGTATAGTTTGTGCAGAACTTCTCTGGTTGAGGTACGTTTAGAAGGCGATATACGAAGTTCGTGTCGCCGGCGCTTGGAGGCATTGCAGTTAGACTGACTGCACATAGGGGTACTACTGGCATTGATGCGCTATATCTTGAATTGTCTCCGCAACCACTTGGTTTCAAGACGTTTCCTTTCGCCAGCTTGTTGGCCTTATCACAAGCTTCCGAACAAGGTATAGTTTGTGCAGAACTTCCCAGGTTAAGGTACCTTTAGACCGCGATATACGAAGTTCGTGTCGCGGGCGCTTGCAGGCATTGCTGTTAGACTGACTGCTCACAGGGTACTACTGGCATTGATGCGCTATATCTTAAATTTTCACAGCAACCACTGGGTTTCAAGACCTGTCCATTTGCCAGCTTGTTGGCCTTATCATAAGCTTCCGAACAAGGTATAGTTTGTGCAGAACTTCCTACTTAAGGTCCTTTAGGCTGCGATATACGAAGTTCGTGTCGCGGGCGCTTGCAGGCATTGCTGTTAGACTGACTGCACATAGCGGTTACTACTGGCATTGATGCGCTATATCTTGAATTTCTCCACAACTACTAAAGTTCAAGATCTGCCGTTTGCCAGCTTGTTGGCCTTATCATAAGCTTTTGAACAACGTATAGTTTGTGAAGAACTTCCCACGTTAAGGTACCTTTAGACAGCGATATACGAAGTTCGTGTCGCGGGAACTTGCAGGATTGCTGTTAGACTGACTGCACATAGGGGTACTACTGGCATTGATGCTCTATATCTTGAATTGTCTCCGCAACCACTTTGTTTCAAGACATGTCCTTTCGCCAGATTGGTTGCCTCATCATAAGCTTCCGAACAAGGTATAGTTTGTGCAGAACTTCCTAGGTTAAGGTACCTTTAGACCGCGATATACGAAGTTCGTGTTGCGGGCGTTTGCAGGCATTGCTGTTAGACTGACTGCACATAGGGGTACTACTGGCAATGATGCGCTATATCTTAAATTTTCACCGCAACCACTGGGTTTCAAGACATGTCCTTTTGCCAGCTTGTTGGCCTCATCACAAGCTTCCGAACAAGGTATAGTTTGTGATGAAATTGCAAGGTTAAGGTACCTTTAACCGCAATATACGAAGTTCGTGTCGCGGGCGCTTGCAGGCATTGCTGTTAGACTGACTGCACATAGGGGTACTACTGGCAATGATGCGCTATATCTTAAATTTTCTCCGCCACCACTTGGTTTCAAGACCTGTCCTTTTGCCAGCTTGTTGGCCTTATCACAAGCTTCCGAAGAAGGTATAGTTTGTGCAGAACTTCCAAGGTAAAGGTACCTTTAGACCGCGATATACGAAGTTCGTGTCGCTTGCGCTTGCAGGCATTGCAGTTAGACTGACTGCACATAGGGGTACTACTGGCATTGATGCGCTTTATCTTGAATTGTCTCCGCAACCACTTGGTTTCAAGACGTTTCCTTTCGGCAGCTTGTTGGGCTTATCACAAGCTTCCGAACAAGGTATAGTTTGTGCAGAACTTCCAAGGTTAAGGTACCTTTAGACCGCGATATACGAAGTTCGTGTCGCGGGCGCTTGCAGGCATTGCTGTTAGACTGACTGCACATATGGGTACTACTGGCTTTGATGCGTTATATCTTAAATTTTCTCCTCAACCACTTGGTTTCAAGACCTGTCCATTTGCCAGCTTGTTGGCCTCATCATAAGCTTCCGAACAAGGTATAGTTTGTGCAGAACTTCCCAGGTTAAGGTACCTTTAGACCGCGATATACGAAGTTCGTGTCGCGGGCGCTTGCAGGCATTGCTGTTAGACTGACTGCACATAGGGGTACTACTGGCATTGATGTGCTATATCTTAAATTTTCTTCGCCACCACTGGGTTTCAAGACCTGTTCTTTTGCCAGCTTGTTGGCCTCATCACAAGTTCCGAACAAGATATAGTTTGTGCAGAACTTCTCTGGTTGAGGTACGTTTAGAAGGCGATATACGAAGTTCGTGTCGCGGGCGCTTGGAGGCATTGCAGTTAGACTGACTGCACATAGGGGTACTACTGGCATTGATGCGCTATATCTTGAATTGTCTCCGCAACCACTTGGTTTCAAGACGTTTCCTTTCTCCAGCTTGTTGGCCTTATCACAAGCTTCCGAACAAGGTATAGTTTGTGCAGAACTTCCCAGGTTAAG